GTTTAGTGTTCCCAAAGAGAGAGATTCTTGCAAGGTAGAAGTGGTTTTAAATGAACCGGTAACACAAAGAGTTGGAAAACTTATACCTCTGATAAGTGCTTTTTTAATGCAAGGCTTGGTTTGTCACATGCTGGTGGACTTCAGACCAGTTGCTTCTGTTTAATTGTTTGAAATATAAATTAGCTTGACTGCAGTTCATAAGCAATTGGAAATAAAGTGGGTGGGGGGAGGCTCTTTCACCATGCATCTTCTGAGGTGAAGTTGAGAGTGAGAGTAGCTTAGACTACCCTGTTAGCCAGTATTTCCAAAGTTTGAACTATTTGGGTGACTGCAACACTGATTTACTGGTGCTTTGTTTGTTTACTTCTACCCATTTGATAAGGACATTTTATGTTCTTATGTTTATTGGACAATTTTCACTCCTCCCACGCAACAATTGTGTGGCTCCATCTTCCTTTATAACAAACGCTGCACCCAAATGGAGGTAGGAAGATGGGCAAGTGTTGAAATATTGGACTTCCGGAGACATTCCCTAGACACTGAGCAACTTTTATATCAACCTAACTTTTCAATTCATAGTCATTTTAATGGCATACTTTGCTGGAAATGTCCTATGTAAGAAAGAGAGACATAATTTGCATTCACAAATAGTTGGTTAACAGAAGAATAAATCCATTTCCAGATGGGTTTCTACCTGGTCTGGTATCATTTCTTTGACAGTGGCAGGAGCAACTGCATCAGACAAGGTGCAAGAAGCCATGTAGGTATTTTTCTATGTGAGAAAAATTCTTCCATACTTGCATTAAGGTTATATACCCCCACACTTGGAGATATATTAGCTTTCCAAATACTTTAAGTTCTTATCATTGTCATGCTGGGAGTTCATTTTCATAATGTAATGTAATATAAATATCTAGTTTTATAACAAAAGACATTTTTGTATACTTTTACATAGTTAGAGAGGTGCATCTCTTTGTTCAACTGTTCACAGTACAAAAGATTGGGGAAACCTCCCACAAAACAAAACCTAGAATGTGGAATATGTATCATTTTATGGATGACTTTATAAATGAAGCTATGTGGTTAGAGGAAACAAAGTTTATTTCAAGTCTTTTATTACGCTAACATTATTTTATTTTGTCAGGAAAGGGGAAGCCATTAAATAGTCCAAAACATTATACATAATCTGTAATCTTTATCGAAGACCACTTGATTTTCTAGATTACCTACAAAGCAAACTTTTAATGCAGACAGAAAGAAAGACAGAAAGACAGAAACACTTCTCCAAGGTTGTCCATGTAACCTTACACTGAGAGAGAGATTTTGGAGTTAGACAAACATATAACAGTAACTAGACATTTCCAGTCTGTTTAATTTCATCTTCATATAGCTGAGTGATGATTTGGTTTGTAGAAATTACAGGCCAAACCTTGGATTTCTATGTAAACCTGGAGTAAATGGGTGCTGTGAGATCTCCTTGACAAGGGAGGCATAATGAATCCTACAGTAAGAAACTCTGTTACCTGATATTCTGTACATCTGTAAAACGTTCAGTAATACAAGGGCAATTTTTTCCTTCAGTTTTGTCTTATAAGTTGCAATTTGTGTAAATGACTGAAAAACATGTATTGCTGTTGGAATTTGTTACTCTTTTAGCTCGACATTTTATCCAGAAGGAGTACTGTGTGCCTTTACGCAGGCAAGACTCCCATTGGCTTTTTGGGTAAAGACCGCAGGATGTCGTTGATGAAATAATTTCGTTTTGTTCTTTATCAGGGTGTTTCTGTCATTTTCCTTAACGGATATTTGATTGTCATTTCATTTCTTGCCCGATGAAGTAAAGTATATTCATAATGTCAGCCCATTGCTGGAAGAGGACAGTGCGAGACTGAGAATTTACAGGTAAGGTCTGTTGCTTTGAAATGACACACACATTAGTAAACTGCCTTTTCAACTCCTATTTCATTCTTGGGGTTTGGAGACAGTAATAAAAATGACATGGTATTTATTTTTAAAATGTTTCCTTATAAGGCACAATTCACTCATTCATTCCTTTGCATATTTAAGCAAAAGAATTTAAAGTTATAGATAAGAATATTTGAACACACAGGCAAAGACTCATTGAAGTTTCATTTTTCTTATGGAGTGATTTTCTTAGATATAAAAAGTGTTATATCCTGAACCTCCTTAACTGAAGACAGTGAGATTTTTGCCATTGGTTTTAACTGGAACAGGATGAGCTCTGTAGTCCTACTACAGCCCACAACATTTGTAATTTATTTATGAGAAGTCTGCTGCCAAGGTGCTTAGGACACTGTACAGAGTAATAATCATTTAAAAATTGTAATAGAAACTTCATTCAAAATCAAACCCCAACATGGAAAAAATAACTTGGGTAAGTTCACCTTCTACAGTGTTAATCATGATTTGTCAGGTGGAGCTTTGCCCTTCCTCTGTTGCAGGGTGAAATAAGGTTCATCATCCCAAATCATCCTAAGCCAGATGCCTAAAATGAGTTTATTTTTGTAATGCTATGCTGCTTCATGGTTCCCTGCACCTTCAGCCTCTTAATTCAGGTCTGATGGAGCTATGCTGAAAGGCCTCTCTCCTGCTGGTAGCTGTTTGTGGAAGTCCCCCATAATGGGCACACAAACTGGATATGCAAAAATAGGACACTCTGGCTCTATTCACTTTATAGGACTGTCCCTGTGACTTCTAGGAAGTCACATGTGGGACACACCAACAAAACCAATTGCAAGCTATCTTTCTGCCTGTAGCACCCTGTATACTGAGCCCCATTCCTGTAGTAGGCCCCACTTTAGATCTGGGACCAAGGAAGTGTGACATCACATGGGGGCAGATCCAGGGGGGTACACTGATGCATCTTTGTCCCCCTTTTATTTCTGCTCCCCAAAGTTTAAAACCAACTGTCTGGTACTGGCAGCAGCATTTCCTTTTGGGCAGTAGTGCGAACATCAATTGAATTCCCGGCTCATTTACCTAATTCTTTTGAACTCTTCATTCCAGAGGTGATAATGACCCTCTCTTCTTTTCAATGGCCTTGATGTTCCACTAATCAAGCTAGCCTTTTTTCTGCAATCTGCTGTTTGTTAGCTGGTCCTGGTAGCTCCTATTCCACAGCCCAGCCAACTATTTTTAACTAATTCCAGTGAAGTTATATTGCTTCAATCTTAAACTGAATAGTATAGCCCTAGGCCACTAGCACATTAGTAATGCTTCTAGTTTCTTTTTACTTGGAGAAAAATATATGCTGTGTTTAAATAGGATGATGCATCACACCATCTGCACCTCCCCCTTTCAAAATAATAGATTTGCCTGTGATACCATGTAACCATGTTCTTTCTCTTCTCCCATGTCTTTTAATTCCCTTCATATATATAATTAAACATTTTGAACCATATTATTGACATTATAATTGATTATAATAATAATCACTAGTGTTATTACTATTCAGAATTTCCAAAGCCCCAGCTCCATTCCGAGTCAACACTTGGGTGCCTAATTTCCTTAGTTCCCTTTTGAAAACCCCAATGATTATTATTATTTAAAAGCAACACCCCATAATCTCACTTTACATAAGAGTTGCAGAAGGCCACTTTACATATGTAAGCATGCTTGGATAGCTTCAGTTAGATATGGTCTGTAGATCTGGTGTGTTGTGTTACAATTAAAATATGGTCTTTTTAACTCTTTCTTTTCCTTTTTAAATGTGAATTGTAGAGGTCACCTACCAGAATAATTTAAAGTTGGGATAAATACTTTTATGGTGCTATGGGATAAAACTCAGTCCTGTGCTGAGAGTCAGCACAAGGCCTATGCATCCCTTAAGCTTTCACAAAGGTGAATTTCGCCATCTAAAAATATTGGTAGGAGGCAAAGATCATATTATTGAAACCACAGGCATCACCTAGTGTCCTCAAAAAAACAGCTCCCCTAGGAAACGGACAATGACTTTCTTGTTCTTAAATTGCTTTGCTGTTAAAACAAGACCTGAAATTCAGGTTCATGCTGATCTCCTGAGGCTTTATTTTGATGCAATCAACCTAGGTTTTTCTGGCATGCAACTTTCTCAAACAGCACGCACAGTGCCAGAGTATCTGGAGTAAAAAAAAAAAAAAGGCTTTTTAAATTTTAAATGTTTGCACATTTGAGATGGACATAAGGTCTCATTGTCCAAAAAACCACTGATTTTATGTCTGCGATGTTAATCATCATAAGAGCAATGAGCAGCATATGTAAGCTGAAAGGTGTTGAAAAGGTATCGGGGAGTTCAGGAATGGCGATCATTAGTAGGAGTTTTGGGTTTAGGTTCAGCTTTGCAACTGAATGTCCATCTGAATTTAGGTTGGTCTGTTAACTTCTTTGATTTTCTTTATTTGACTACAAAATTGTGCTTTTATCTGGCTCAGGTTTCTGAACCTTAATTCCTGATTCCAGAAAGAATCCCAGAATAGCATAAATGTGTAGGGGCAGATCTTAAAGTAAATAGATATTGTTCCACTGAAATCATAGGGAAGGTACAGAATGATCCTAGTGATATACACCAGCTGAGAATTTGGCCTGTAATACAAGTTTAAAGTATTAGTTTCAATACTGATTCCATGAGGCAGTCAACACTCTTCATCCCTAGTGATTGTTTCTATTTACATTACAGACTTTGCTGGAAGCACAGTTGCATAATGAGTTCATCTCATGACCACCGCATCAATGGCCACGAGAAAGTTCATTTCTTCATATTGTGCATAACCTAATAAGATACATACCTTGCACTTGCACTTAGGCTTACTGAACTGGAGACCATCATCAACCCTTTTGTTCTTCATGTAGAGATCAGAAGTCTGAAGTTGAGTATTACTCAATTTGGACAAAGGTCTCTGGAAGTTCCTGAATTTCTTGGCATCTCTAGTGCAGTGGACGGAAATGTCTTGACTTTCAAATACAATATGGATGGGCTTTGTGCCACATGCACTGTGAGAATCATGTCTTCTGAGATGCAGCTTCCTGCTTTTGGCCAGATAATAGCAGTGGATCCTGAAATCCATAGGAGGGGAGATGTACCCGAGTTTGAAAAGCACCATAATAAAGAAAGGTGATGAATTTTAAAACAGCAGATATATGTACAATACTCTTGGGGGGAAGCTTCTTTTTGTTTAAAGTTCTGTCTAGAATATAGCACATAAGTTAATAGTTCATATAAGAGTTTAGCAAGTGGTTATAGGTCTGCCTTGGGTTCCCATCCAACTTTGCTATGTATTTTCCAGATTTTTTCACACACAAAGAAAACAGTAAATCCATAGGGCAAAGCTGATATAAATGGGACTTTGGGCTGTGAAACAAGTATTGAATTCTCTTCAGACAAAAGAATCTTGCTTCCAAGTAGTTTTATACACATAAGAATTGATTAAGAACAGACTGTTTTTAGAGAAATTTCTCATCCTGAATGTGTGTGTGTGTGTGTATATATATACACACACACACACACACACACACACACATACATATAAAAAAGCTAGGCAAACTGTATGCCTCTTGTTTATAGAAGACTATCAGAGGAAGTAAGAATATATTTTTTTTCCCTTTTCCTTCACTCTCTAAGCTGGTGAGCTGCTCTTAATTCTTCCTACAAAAATGCACAGCAGTGATCTAAAGGACAAAAATAACCGGATCAGCAGTATGCAGATAAAAGCTTTTCAGTAGAATGAAGAATTTCTTCATGAAGTACTGTAGGATTCTGCATTTGTTTCTATAGTCATGCTACAGCTTGGGCTTTTAAAAAAAAAAGTCAATCAGCCCCAATAAAAATTATATTTCAAAAATGTTCTGAACAGTTGTTTACATAATGCACAGCTTTCTCCACCACCAAACAGAAGTGACAGTGATACAACGTGGGATATAATTTGACCTGGAAGTAACATCCCCATAGTGCCCAAACTACATGTCTTATAAAAAACTGAAGCAGTTTTCCAAATTGAAATATTTCACTTTTCGTTGAAAGATTAGCTGTGAATAGCTACTAAAAAAATCCATATTTTCATATGCTCTTCTGCTTAGGTCACAGTAGGATCTTGATAACCCACTTGAGGTCTGAATTCCACTGTGCATGGTATTTTCCAAACACAGGCACTAGGGCTGTGTGAAGCTTTGGTCCCTGATTCAATTAGGTGGAGATTCAGCCTGATTCCGTGGCTGAATCTCTGAATCTGAATTGAATCAGAGGACCCTTTAATCTGAGTTGAATTGGAACCCACCAAATCAATTTGGAAAGATTCGGACCTAGACACAGCATTAAATGTTTTTTCTACATACCTCAAGGTACCAGGCAGCTTGTGAATGCTGTGATGCTGGGGTGCATGGAGCGTCCCACAGGAGCACGGGAGGGTCCCCAGTGTGTTCGGCAGCAGGCCTGGAAGTAGACCGGAAGCACCTCAGGTCCATTTCCAGGTCTGCTGAGGAGTGCATGGGGGCTGCCCCCCAGCTCGGCAACTGGTGCCTCCTGGGTCTGGGGGGGCACCTGGGGTCTCCCTGTGGCCAACTGCCAAGCCAGGAGGGCGTAGGGGGCCCCCCAGTTCACACCCTGGTAGACCTGGAAGTGGACCAGAAGTACTTCTGGTCCACTTCCAGGTTTGCCAACAAGCATGTGGAGGGCCCTCCTGCACTCCTGTGGGATGTTTGATCTGCCCCCGCATTGCAGCGATCACAAGCCGTGCCTGCTACCGCAATGTATGTAGAAAAAGCTTTTAAAGCTGTGTCGATGTTCGACTTGCTTATTCTCCAAATCAGCACTGAATCTTGAGATTTGGATTCGGCCAAATTGAATCAGGGACAGTGATCCAAATCAATGAATCGAGTCACTGTCCCCGATTCTGGCCGAATCCAAATCTGAATCAAATATGGCCCACTTTGCTCACCCCTAATAGTCACCAGTACTTAAATTACATAACTGTCCATTTCAAAAATTTTATTTGAATTCATGATTTCTTTTAAAAGAAGTAACAAAATTCCTTTGATTTAAAATGGTCAGGAAATATGATGACTTTTGTGAAATGTTTTCTTTAGCCTGACCACCCAAATACCTTGTCCTAGCAACAATGCCTGCCTTTTGGGGTCACAAGAAATACACATGCTAAAGATCAACTGTGACGATTTCCTGGAGATGAGGCTCCAACACCAACATAGCCCCTCGTCACCTGATATAGATTACATTCCCATCCAGGTGGAAATCAGAGACAAAATGAGCCAATTTCAAGTACAGGTTAGAGCAGATGGGTGTTTTGAGAATCTACCCAATTGCCTTTTTGCAAAAGCAGGACATTTCTGCCAAGCATAATGTCTGTGCAATGTGGAGCTGTTGTTTCTGCAAGCATTGCTGGATGGGAGCTGGAGTGTCATGTGCTACAGGCTTCCCCAGAGTGGATTCTACCTTGAAGTTGTAGAGTCTCAATCCTTGGAAGTCTTCAAAAGCAGGTTAGACAGACACTTGGCTGGGATGACTTAGCGATGATCCTACACAGGGGGTTAGACTAGATGTCTTTGTGAGGTTCCTTTCAGCCCTACTTTTCTATGATCCTATGATCACGTGCACAATTTCTGATATTTGTCTGCTTTGTGTTTGCAAAACATATAACATTTCAGAAATATTTTTTAATGTTTAGGGATTTTTTAAAAATACAATATACAACTACAATCATAAAAAACATGTATATCAACTGTATTGTTTGTGAAATTTCAGTCTTACATAAGCAGTAAAATGACAAAGAAGGAAAAGGAGGAAGGAACAGGTAGGGATAAAAGAAGAAAAGAGAAGCATGCAATGAGCACAAAATATTCCAAGAATTCCTTCCAAATTGCACAGAACTTTTTGAAGCCACTAAGACTGCTAAACATGACTCTTCCCGTAGATTCCAGCTACGCCATCTCATTGTACCAGATTTTGCCTTTTTGGAGATGTCCTCCTTTCCCCTGCAGTAATATAATCCAATATAACCAGTGTAAGAGTGCAATTTGGGAAGGATTCAGTTTGAATCCCTTGGGGATGTATCCAAGAATACACACAGTTGCCAAAGGTATCATTGCTATGTTCAAAACCATGTCAACTCTACTTTTAATTTTCTAGTTTTTATTTTTCCAGAAAGAATTAATAGGGTATGACCAGAATGTGTGACCAAACATTACCTGCAGTTCATCACATCTCCAAAATGCATCTACTGGCAGTATATTTAATATTTTAAGTTTAGAGGGAGCCCAGTGCAGATGACAGATCATCTTCTGGTGTATAAGATGAAGTCTAAGATTGATTGTCAGTGTTCAAATATTGTGAATTGCTGATTACCACTGGGATTCTGTCATCTAGGTTACCTAGGTCTCCATTCCATTTTAGCCTTAAATAGTCTGTATCCAGTCTATTATGTAACATTATGTATACATTGCAGACATTTTTTCAGCCAAACTTTTTGCAGACTGGATGTTTGTGAACTTTGAATAAGTTGAGGAGGAAGTCTTGACCACCCAAAACGAATGTCGTGTAGAGGAATGAGCACTGGCTGAGAGGCTGACAAAGTGGGCATGGCTGACATGGCTAATAAAGCCAAATGTCCCATTATTGACAAGATTGCTTTTCTTCTCCATGGCAATGTGTGCAACCACCTTTTGGTAATTTCTTTGAGTAATGGTTGCTCAAGAGGGTAGTATGGAAATCTAGGTCTTGTTTGATATCTGCCCACTGTTACTGATGGCAAAATGTTCATTGACTTAAAGAGGGGCAGCATTGTACCCTTGTCTTGTTAATAATCTTCCCAATGTTCACCGTGACATAAGCCTTCTCTTCTGGAGAAGATGATTGAAAAAATGGAGATTGAGCCAACTGGAGCTATCTTGAACCCTGTCTATCTTGTTTCAGATTTATATCTGATAACAACAAGGGAAGAGTCAGCAGGCTTTTATTCTTTGTCTTCAGGTAACAAAGAAACCTCACTGAAGAGCAGGGTTTCCTTGTGCTATAAACATATAATAAGATACAGTCCTTCCTTCAAATCTAAATGGGCATATGTGGGGGAGGGGAGGGGGGAGAGAAGAGACACAGGAAGAGAAGTGACTTGTCTAGGTTTACACAAGTCATCATCAGGGCCAGGTACAGGCATTACACTTTTACTAGTAGAAGTGGTCAGAAACTGGTCTATGCCTGTAACAGAACAGAAGTTCGGCACACAGACTTGTTTCAAATGTCAGAACCCGGTCGCCAAAGGGTGAACATGTGTTCTGTTTGCTACTGATCTAAACCACGCTGCTTACAGAAAACCACGTATCCTGGATCGATTCCTCCTAGTGTTTTTTAAATGTCTGTACCTAACCCAAGAGATCGTCACCAAAAGGAGCCATTCCAACAGCTTGAAGCAAAGTTCAAGGAGTAATGATCACATGTGTGTTAATTTTTAAATTTTCTCATGGGGTGGAAACACTGATAACAGGCACCTAAAAATTACTAGAAATATATACATTTCTGGGTATTTCTATACCTCTTCTTGGTGAAGTGATTACAAAGGGATTCACTGGGATTTCTTGTTTGTAGACAGAAAATGTTTGGATTCCTGTGAAGATAAGGGGAGCCATTCACAATGCCGTGCTGCATTTAAGTTCATGTTCATCTTGGAGATCGATCAGTTTATTCTTACCCCACTTACAACAGCAGTTATAGATGCTGAAGATGAAGAAATGCCAAAGAATAGATTAGTGATCAGCATTACTAAGCCCCCACTGGAAGGATACATTACCCATCTGGAAGACCACACCAAGGCCATTACATCATTCAGTTGGCAGGATTTATTTGAGATGAAGGTCGCCTATCAGCCATCCACTGTGTCTTATTCTGAGAGACAAAACTATGAGGTGAGTTACGGAGCACTAGTGCCTTCAGTCAGAATGATCATACCTGCAGCAACACACAGCTCACCACTCAGGACGTGCTGCATTAATCATTCATGGGGTGTTTGTTTTGCTTATTTTGCAAGGTTGAATTCCAAGCAATTGATAGTATCCTCAAGAGCAGTTCTCCTATCATCGTCCATTTTTCAATAAGAAGTGCTGAGACTAATGCTCCTAAGGTTGCATGGACCATGGGTAAGGAGAATTTTATCCAAGCATATATACACGTAAGAGTTCATTATGTTTTTGAGTGCATTGCAAAGAATCTCTGTTTTGCAGGCATATCTGGCATTTTGGGATTAGCGTTATGGTCCTGTCGGTTCCTTAGTGGTGCCTGTGGATTGACTGACACTTTTAGCTCCATATTTATCATCTTCCTTTCACCTATCTTCTTTAAAATTAAAACCAAATATTTTGATCTCTCTCTTTAAAAGGGTACTGTATTCTCGAATTTGGTTGTATTCCATGACACAAACTGAGCTGAGCAATTCAATAATAATAAATATCCAGAATTGCCTTTTTAAATTGGTAGAGATACGTGACTTTAAGGGGGAAGAGGATTGGGTTTGATTTATTTGCTTTAGAAATAGACAATCTTAGAGTTATGGACAATTGTAAAAATGCATATGGATGAAAGTAAGCACTTAGTTCTGCACAAGCTTCCTTTATAGAATTTCAGGGGTTAAGGGATGATAAACGTATTGCATCTCTGTTTTCACTTGAAGCCCATCTTCTCGGGTTAGATGCCTTGTTATAGTTAAATTTCCAATAATGGTCTAGAACACAGGTTGTCAACTAGGGGTATGCATACCCCTAGGGGTATTTTGAAAGGTCCCAGGGGGTATGTAGAGGCAGGCAAGAATGGAATGCTGCCACCCCACACCGCTGCCTCATAGGACCAGGGCTGGGGTGGGATGAGAGCAGAGCCACACAGATGCCATTCTGCTGCCACTCTACCACTCGCCATACCCCCCACTCACTCTGGGTCTGGCTGCTCGCCCCCCCCCCCCCCCCCCCCCCC